TACCCAGTCCAGACACGTGTGATACAGGAGACAGTCCTGCACAGGTCCAGTCTGTCCACAGTAACACAGCGCTGGGACTGTCCTGCAGTCCAGACACGTGTGATACAGGAGACAGTCCTGGGCAGGTCCAGTGTTGTTAGAAGCAGCAACTTATGTGAATAATTCCATTATGATGACTCCTGAACATACTTTTCAGGAATAATACAAATATGGTGTATTATATTTACGTCCCAAAATTAATATAGCTAAATAAGCTTGGAAACATTATTATACTTTGTATGTTTTTTTTTAGCTACCAACATTTCCCATTAGTTCCATGATGCTGTATTCAGTGTATACAGAAGCAGGCTTGCAGTGCGTGAATCTTACAGTACTGTATTGTGCAGCACCATACCTGCTATACAGAAGTGGTCTAAGGCAAGCTTTTTCAATCTAATGGATCCAGGCTGCACTCATGGCATAAAATTCCCTGTTCATAACAAAAAAATAAACTGTACACCCATGTTACATTTTAAAACAGTAGCTAGGTTATGTAATTTATGTATTCATACAGCACACAAAATATAATATATTCAAGAAATAGTTCAGCTTGGGTTATGTCACATGCACAAGTGCAGTGAAATGCTTATTTGCAGCTGTGCTCCAATACAGAGACACTAAGGGATCACCTAACGTAAACAGAACAGCAGCAACAGCAAAGTTAATTAACACACAAGTTAAACACAAGTCAATGCAAGCAGTGTGCAGAGAAAACAGTGGAAAGGGCGGAGTTCAGTAATCTGTCAGCTTGAGGGAAGAAGCTGTCTCTGAGTCTTCCTGAGGCAGCGAGTTGTTACAAATGTCTGAAATAGAGGGGAGCTGTACCCCAGTGATGGACTGGGCTGACCCAGTCACCCCCTGCAACGCCTTCCGGTCAGACAAGCCACACTGTAATCCCACTCTCAATAGCACACCTGTCACTTCACCAGGTTCCTGACCTCATCCCTGGAGTGATTTGGACAGTGATGGTACTGCAGTGTCATCAGCATACAGTATGTGTAGATGGAGTTGCAGCTGTGTCTGGCCACACAGTGGTGAATAAACAAGGAGAACAGCAGGGGGCCAAGCACACAGCCCTGGGGGGCACCTATGCTAACGGAAGCATGGAGAAATATAATTAGATTTTCAGTAAGACGTATTAAATGAAGATTTTGTTTCAGTAACTTCAAATGCAACACAACTGCCACCTAGAGATCTCCTCTGAGCAGCGAGCACCTGAAAAGAAGTGCGATTTCTGCCAATGCAAATTTCTGTCCACATTCTAGATGGCTGCACCTGTGCACTCCTCAGTTTTACTGGACATGGCGTTAGTATCATACTCGTTCTGAGAACGAAGAGGTGGTTTGTCTTCACACTCTGGTCTGGCCCCTGCTGTGCAGCACTGTGACACCCTGTCTGTTCTCTGCAGCCACCATGAACAAGAACAAGGTGATAGAGATCAACCCCTACCTGCTGGGCACCATGTCAGGGAGCGCAGCCGACTGCCAGTACTGGGAGAGACTGCTGGCCAAGGAGTGCCGGTCAGTTACTGTCCAGTCAGTGTGTGTGTATGAACCCCTCTCTCTCTCAGTGCAGTGTTCATGTACTGGAGTGTCCAGTCAGTGTGT